ACAAACATCCCTAATTCTAACCATCAACTCTAACCTCCTAACCGAGAACACACTACCAAGCACACACAACCAAGAACACACTACTGAGAACATCAAGCATACTACCAAGAACATGCTATGATTGAATATGTGCACTGAGAACACACTACCAAGAACATGCTACCAAGAATATGCTACCAAGAACACACTACTGAGAACACACCACCAAGCACACACTATAATTGAATATGTGCATTGAAAACCTGCTACCAAGAATGTGATGTGATTGAATATGTACCAAGAACACACTACCAAGCACATGCTATGATTGAATATTACTGAGAACACATTACTAAGAACATGCTATGATTGAATATGTGGATTAAGGAGATGCTACCCAGAACACGCTACTGAGAAGACACCACCAATCACATGCTGCCAAGAACATTTACTGAGAACATGCTATCAAGGACATGCTATGATTGAATATCTGCATTGAAAACATGCTACAAAGAACATGCTATGATTGAATATCTGCATTGAGGACATGCTACCAAGAACACACTACGGAGAAGATACCACCAATCACATGCTACCAAGGACATGCTATTATGATTGAATATCTGCATTGAAAACATGCTATGAAGAACATGCTATGATTGGATATGTGCATTGAAGAACACACCACCGAGAACACACTACTGAGAACACACTACCAAGCACACACTATGATTGAATATGACTGAGAAGAAACTACCAAGAATGCACTATAATTGAATATGTGCATGAGAACATGCTACCAAGAACACATTACTGAGAACACACTACCAAGCACACACTACTGAGAACATGCTATAATTGAAGATGTGCATTGAGAACACACTACTGAGAACACACTACATTTGAAGATGCATTAGAACTGGGATTGAGCATGTATACCAAAACTGGGATTAAGCATGTGCATGGGGGGTCCAGGGGGCATGCCCCCGGCAAGCTGTGACCTGCACCAGAGGCATGGCCGAGCGTTAGCGAGTGCCATGCCATAGGTGTGGGTCTAAAGCTTGTACATGAAAACACAAAGGATTGATGGCTGACAAATTCAGCTTTATCTTACTAAGCACTTCACACCCTCACGAGACTTCTCAACACGGCTTCAGGCTGCTCCTGCCTCACTGTTCCACAAACCACCACGAACTCTGATACATTATTTTGTAAGTTTCTGGATAACATTTTGATCATTATGGAAAGCCTTCAACTATTTTTAGACACCTTCAATTGACATTTTGTCCACTTGGATTGCTTCTGATCACTTTTGATGATAGGATTTCACAAGGTTTTGCTGATTGGTTAGTTGCTTCAATATGTGGATCTTTTTCTCTTTTTTTTGGTAATCAGAATATATGCTTCAGTTGTCCTTTTGGTCTTGATGTAGGATATTTCTTTTGCTCCCTGCCTTTATTACTTAACTATCATTTATTCCCTAGGGATTCTCCTCCTAATACTCCACAAAGGCATAGAAATATTGAGAGGGCAAGAGAGCGTCAAGAAAGGATGTTGGAAAGTCCTGAGCATAGGAGAACACCTCAAAATCCTGCTGTTGGTGGTGGTGTACCTTTTATTCTTCCTTTCCCTATTCCACCCCCTGTTGCTCCTCTTCAAATTCCTCAAGGTCTTGTAGGTGATGATCCATTTGTTGAGGTTCTATATAATGGTCAAATTCTTCACCTTACTCCTGGGATGGCTGCACAAGTGGGTAATTTGCAAAACCAGATGTACCATTTGGTGGAGTTACTGTTATTTTTGGAGGAGACTTTCAACAAATTCTTCCAGTAGTTGTCAAAGGTGGACAGGAACAAATTGTCAGCCAGTGTTTTCAGCAATCACATCTCTGGACATCTGTCAACATTCTGACTTTGAAAGAGAATATGCGTCTGGAGAATACTTCACAGGAAGAAAAAGACTTTGCACAATGGCTTATTGAAATTGGGCATGGGAAGCATACAAATGCAGATGGTTCTACTCTTCTGCCAGAAAGAATGAAATGTGGGAATGATGTTGCATCTCTAATTAATGCTCTCTATCCTGGCCTAACCACTTTGTCTCAAAATGCAAGAAATGACCAGTATTTCCTTGATTGGACCATTTTAACAGCTTGAAATAATGATGTTGATGATCTCAATGAAACGATACTTCAACGCATGCGTGGAAATGAATTTACATTTCACTCAGCAGACTCTATTATGAGAGAAGGAGGTGTGGATGGTGAATTTGAATACCCAGTAGAATACCTCAATTCCATCAACCTTAGTGGAATGCCTCTAGCAAAATTGAAACTCAAGATAGGTGCACCAGTAATGATCCTTTGAAATATTGATCCAGCAAATGGACAATGCAATGGAACCCGGGCAATCCTCACCCGTGCCTCTTCCCGAGTTTTAGAAGTACACATTCTGGGAGGAGAATTTGCAGGACACACAGCATTCATTCCCCGCATAAGATTTGAGCCTTCAAATGGTGAACTTCCATTCCAGTTATGCAGAAGGCAATTTCCTGTTCGCCTGGCCTTTTGCATGACAATCAACAAATCTCAGGGACAGTCAGTGAAACATTTAGGACTGGATGTTCGGACCCCAGTATTTAGACATGGACAACTTTATGTGGCTCTTTCACGTTGCACATCAAGCAACTGTATCAAAGTTCTCTTCAAAGATGGTTCACAACAAACTGTAACACAAAATGTAGTCTATCCAGAGGTATTATTAGATTGATGTAAATGGTAAAAGTACTGATAAATGTCACTTTATTTTGATTGAGATGTAAGAAGAGCCAGAATTGAACATGTGTACCAGAACTAGGATTAAACATGTGTACCAGGGGGTCCAGGGGGCGTGCCCCCGGCAAGCTGAGCTTGTAACATCTAATATATAAATGTGCAATGCTTACTAAGAGATTACATAATATATGACTAAGCAACCTCTTTCTCTTTATACCAGCTGCCTGAGTGGCTTTTTCTGGAAACTCTGGCCATAGGCAATGTTGGGTTGGTCCTATCAGACCCTGCAACTACACTCTGTGCTGCATTGAATAATTTCCATGCATTTTTTGTGGGTACACCTCCTTCAGCAGCCTCAATTTCGCTTTTTTTTTCCACCTTTATCACCCTCCACTTCCCTCTACACCTGTGTGACAGTCTCTGTCAGTGTATGTTTCTTTTTTCTTCTTACTGTTCAACACTCCTGCTTCTGTTTTGTTTGACAGTGCTATCCTGCAAGGCACTTCTTTTTTGACTTTTCTCTTCTGATTTGTATTTTTCCAGTACTTTGTGTGGGTGGATATTCTGCTTCTTCTTTGGTAATTTGGAGTTAGCAAAAATTGGAGGACCAAGGGCCTCTCTATGTAAATGTCTGCCAGCTGCTATCAGTCTTTTGCTTTCTTTGCACAGCATTGATATGGGATGATTTTTACAGTTCTTCCTTTTTAAGCTAAGCCATATCATGGAGGGTTAGGCCAATAAGTATAGCTAAATTTCTATGGCTGGCTACAATCATGATATAGCATGTAGCTCCATGTAGGTCTCAATCAAAATGTAACTTTGATGATTTGAATGGAAGATATGTACCAGAACTGGGAGTGAACATATGTTGGGCAGAGGATCTGGAGAGCTTTCATCTGGCAAGCTGGAAAAGTGTGGTGAGCTTTCTCTTGGGCAAGGTGTGGCCAAGTGAAGTGAGTGCTGTGCTATAAGTCCACATCCAAGTGTAACATTGCAGAACTGGGATAAAAAAAAGGATATACATACATACTCCCCAAATGGGAATTCAGGCATCCTACCTCAGCTGCCTCACAGCAATTGAAGCTTCAAACTATCTAACCACCACCCTAACCTCCTACATAGGGAGACAAAACATCCCTAACTCTAACCATCAACCCTAACCTCCTAACTGAGAACACACTACCAAGAATACACTACTAAGAACATGCTATGATTGAATATGTGCATTGAGAACATGCCCATGCTGCCAAGAACACACTACTGGAAACACACTACCAAGAATGTGCTATGATTGAATATGTGTGCTAAGAACACCAAGAACATGCTACCAAGAACAGGCTATGATTGAATATGTGCATTGAGAACACACTCACACTGCCAAGAACACACTACTGAGAACATGCTACCAAGAACACACTACTGAGAACACACTAGCAAGCACACATTATGATTGAATATTACTGAGAACATGCTAAGGTAGATGACAACCATACACAACCAACCCTCAGTGATGTGACATAACACTCCTTTTTTGACAAACAGAAATGAGAAAAGTCAAAGAAAAGGCCATAACAATTCTTTGCATAAAGTTAGGGGAAATTGATGACCATAGAACTATTAGAATTAGTGCTCTAAAGATATATACAGATTTATAAAGTAGGAGAATGAAAACTGGGGGAGGAGATACATAAGTATTATGGTAGGTTCCTGAAGCTCAGATTGACTCCTTCATTGCATTGAAGTTTCAATCCAAAATTGACTGTAATCAATTCCTAAAGGTTTCATATCTTGCAGGGGTTGTTGTTCTCTGATATTTGTTGGTTAAGACATGTCCTCAAGTAATTGAACACCCAGAAATAGAATCCCCTCATTCTCCTTTGCAGTGTTAGCTTTTTTGTATAGATTTATCACCTCTATATAAGTACTATGCTCTGGACTGGAGGTAATTGCTTTGCTTAGGCGTGACCCTGGCCTAATGAAGAGGGTTTGCACATGTGCCTTCAAATTGACGCATTGTGAAGTATTTTTGTTTCTTTTCCCTCAAATTTCGTTTTACTGCTTTAATTTTTTTTCGTGCTCCATGAAATCTACATTTATCTCAATTCTATGGTTTTCAATTAGCTGTGATTTGTGTTTAAGATATTCTAGGACATTATCTGTGGAATTGAAGCTCAAAATGGAAATGTCATGCTGTGCACATGACATTGGAAGGATATGGTTGTTGTCTACCTTACCAAGAATGCACTATGATTTAATATGTGCATTGAGAACATGCTACCAAGAATGAATTACTGAGAGCACACTACCAAGCACACACTACCAAAAACACACTAACAAGAACACACTACTGATAACACACTATAATGGAACATGTGCATTAGAAATGGGATTGAGCATGTGTATCAAAACTGGGATTAAACATGTGTACCAGGGGGTCCAGGGGGCTTGCCCCCGGCAAGCTGTGACCAGTGCTGGAGGAACGGCTGAGCGCAGCAAGTGCCATGCCGTAGGCACAGGGCTAAAGCTTGTCTAATATATAAAGAGAGGAAGGTTGACAGTTATTACATAATAGATCATGTAAGCAACCGTGCTGCAATACTGAGCCACGTGAGCGGCGTTTGCCGGAAACTCACATGAGTCATGAACAAGTCATGCACAAACAAACCTTTCGCTTCAGTGCATGACTTAACCACAACTGCACAACGACAACGACAACGTGGCAACGCCATGTCACACCACAGCCACAACCACGACACGACGCCCAAGGCCAAGAAGATGACCGCCCACAAACGAAGACCAGCCAAAACGGACCACCACCATCCCAAATGGCTCATGAACGATGGACAGCACACACAGGCAGCTAGTGTTTGGAAGTCCGGTCTCATGACTGGAAAAAGACCGTAACCAGACCGGACCAAGACCGCAAAAGACCGGACCTGTGGTTACGGTCTTTTATTTTTGAAATGTAAAGACCGCAAAAAAACCGGTTAACGTAAACCGGTCTTGACCGGTTTGGACCGGTCTTTTGTAGCCCCTTAAATACCCTTTAAAACGCACCCAAGAACGTACGATTTGGTAAAAAAACGAGAGAGATATGAATTAAAATGTAAATTACTTTTGGGAATAATAGATGTACCAGACTTATTTTATAGAAGCACCAATTCCTAACGGAATTTAACGTTCTTGGGCTCGTTTTGAAGCTATTAGAGATGTTAATAAATTTACCGATTCATAATTTTAAAATATCGGCCTAAAGACCGGTCATAAACCGGTTAAAACCGATGCAGACCGAAACTGGTCTATAGACCGCAAAAAACCACGGTCTGCGGTCTTTTTGCGATCTGGTCTGGTCTTTTGACTTCTGGGGAAAAGGCAGACCGGTTACGGTTACGGTTAACGCCCCTGGACATCAAAAAACCGGACCGAACCGGACTTTCAAACACTACAAGCGGCGACGAACGACAACGACGAACAACGGATAACCCCGACGACCTGGCATGTCAATGGACGTGCCATGTCATCTAGACGGTGACAATGCAAGTCGTCGTCACTGTCCCCATCATTGCAGGTGAGCAACATGGCTTCTCTCCCCTCTCCTTTTTTCACATGAGAAACAGGGGTCACGTCGCCGTTGGCAACAAACACAAAGACAGTGACGATGCATCCACATCAATCATGGTGAGCAACATGGCTCGCCTCTCCCTCTCCCTTTTTCACATGAGAAGCAAGGGCCATGTCGTGCTCAAAAAACAAAAACGACCACCTACAAATGAAGATGAATGAGCACCAGCCAAACCCAACCACCATCATCCACCATGGCTTACGAGCGATGGTCAACCACCCACAAACGGACAAAGGTGACAAGGAGCCCAGGTGAGCAAGCTCCCTGCCACCCCTCATTTTACTAATACGCAATCCAGGTGCCACGTCGCTGTTGGCGACGTGGCAACCAAACGACGAACGTTGTTCGTCATTGTTTACTCTAGGACACCACAGTGAGTAACCCCCGTCCCATGTTCATCTGAACCCACCTCACTGAGACACAGGACAATGAAGGAACCCAATGTCGCGATGAGAACGACAGAAGACAACGACACGGGACAACGACACTACGAAAACACGGTGAATACCCCCCGTCCCATGTTCATCCCTACCCACCTCGCTGAGACACAGGACGACGATGGACCGGCCACGTGGGACAACGACGACGTAACGAGGAGGACACAGGACAATGATGTGACGAGAACACGACCCAATGACGCGACGAGGACATGGGACGATGAAGACAACAACAACATGACCAGGACAAGGGCCAATGAGGGACCAGGGCACAACATGACGCAGAGGGGCTGACGACGTGACAACAACAGCAACGACGACGACACAATGCCAATGTGGTACGACAACGGATGAGGGACCAGCACCACTACCCTGGATGGGCGATGAGTGCCCGGCACCATGACCACGAATGATGATAAGGCTCACCACTGCCTGTCCATCCCCCTTCTTTTTAACATCCCCCTTTCCTTAAACATTTAATGTAGTAGAATACTTCCTATGTAGTTATCAAATACACTTCAATTTTACCTGTTTAAAGTTGAATGTCATAAGGAATTCTGAGGATGAACTTAGCAGCATGGGATACTTAGGTAAATTGTGTTTGTAAAAGTTCTGCAGCTTAGGTTATAGGCACTTTGACAATGCCAGACTCCTGTAGCCTTTGTCTGTCCCCTCAAATGTTTATTGGTTAACACATCAATTTGCTCAGCCATTTTGCTGTAAGTACATAAATAGTCAAGACTCAAGAGACCACTGTAGAATCTATCTAATGGCCCTATTGATCTGTCAAAGACGGATCCAATGTGCACCCCTACCTTAGTCTCTCCTAGACAGACTTCGATACATGTGAAGTCGTACCTTGGTTCATGATGTATGAAGTCTGTTTGTTACCACGCCCCCAAAACCGCGCTAGAAATTGTTTATGTAATCTTCGGACTTTGAAATCGCGTCGCGTCAATATTGTGTCCTTGCCGTTTGCTCTCGACGCGATAGCCCATGCAATTCTGTTCGAATACACGTTAAACTTGACATTCTACATCTTGTCTGATCTATATTCTGTTATGACGACTCAATGACGGCTCGACAACCCCGCTGGCAGGACCCAGAAGGACTTGATACGATCAATAACATTGTGAAGAAACTTGTACCGAATTGACGAACGGACTGCATGCGGTTCAACTTGAGCTCGTTTCCACTATTCTAGATGGAAAGGATTCACTTTGCTGTACGGCCACTGGAGAGGGAAAGTCAGCGGCCTTCTCAATACCGACTCTTGTGCTGCTGGAGTACAACAAACACCCGAACGCCTATGTAGCTGGCCTTCCAACTCGGAAGAGACCAATCGGAGTCGTAGTCACACCAACCAAGGGACTGGCAGATAACATAGCACGCTTATTTGCCATTTTTTGCTGTTCCGCTCATGAATTTCGGACTAGGTTCACGAGCTTTTGAAGCTCAAGAGTCAACATCTCCGGATTCTCGTACTGCAAAGAAACCCTGAGCGAGGCGCGCAAGGCTGGTATTCGTTTGGCAGGAGAAATGAAGCAGTGCGTTAAATGGCAGGTTATCTGTGTGGATCCTGAGCACCTGCGCGACAAGGAGTGGAGGGAAATCACGGAACATCCAATTTTTCGGGTGAACATCTTGTTTGCGTGCGTCGACGAATTCCACCTTATCAACGAATGGGGTCTTGCATTTCGTTTAGCGTTTGGGACCATTGGAACCTTTCTGCGTGGGCGCTTTCCTGCTTCAGTATCTATTGTCGGTCTCACTGCAACACTCGAGCCGGGGCGACCAACGGTTTCTGCCTGCAAAAGTCTTGGCTTCTTCGAAGGGAACTTTGTACTCATCCGGAGGTCTAACGAGCGTCCGAATACACAATTTACTGTACAATTCCTCACTCATGGACTCAATGGCGACAAGTTTCCTGATATTCTTCCTTACCTTGCAAGCGGACGTAAAACTATTATACACTGCCGAACTGTCAACCAGGTCTCTCAGGTCTTTCATGGTAAGCTTATGTATCTCTTGATGGACATGTTTACCGACGAGGTTGGTTGCCCAAGTAAACAGCGAAGGACGCGCATGGTTGATAGCCGCAGGCGAGATGGAGGGCGAGAATGAGGCGTGACGTTCGTGATATTGTGTAGATCTCGGCAACGGGGCATTGTGCTTGTGAGAATATATGAGACTGATGATTTCGGACATTTTGGTCTTTGTTTTTCCTTGAAGGAATCGAGCGACGGCCAGTCCATGAGTCACACCACGAGGATCGTCCTTTCCGTCAACACGAGTTGGGTTGTAGAACAGGATCCCTAGAAAATCTCCAATAGAATCAAAGCCTGAGTTTCCTAGAAACTCTTCCATTTGTTTAAACTTTCCCTCTAGCTTCGCCTCTTCATTCTGTCGAGGCTGAATTAACCTTGGTTGACTCGATGAGCCAAGCGCGTTGAACGGAGAAGCGGAGGCAGCCAAGGAATTAACAGATGACGAGGCCGAAAGACCATCAGGGGATGATGCGACGAGTGAATTCACTGTAGGACTTGTGGAACTAGGTGTAGATTGTGATAGAAATGATGAAATGTAATCGGGTGTTGCTGGTACTTGAATTGCAGAGTTTTTCCTGTAAGACCGGACAGTTCAAGTGTTGTTACCCATAGTAAGCAGTAGTTGGAAGAGGCTACAGTTGAATTTGAGGGGATAGGACAAGTCATGCGACAAAAAACGCGTCGAGAGTCCAGGGTGACGAGGTGATTGACGCGACGCGGTTTGAAAGTCCGAAGATTATGTAAACATTTTCTAGCGCGGTTTTGGGGGCGTGGTAAAAACAGGACTACCCCTACCTGAAGTATAAGAACTGGGATGAAACATGCACAACAGAACTGGAATAAAGCATGCGTACCAGAACTGGGATTAAACATGCGTACCGGGGGGTCTAGGGGGCTTGCCCCCAGCAAGCTGTGACCAAGCACCAAAGGCATGGCCGAGCGTTAGCGAGTGCCGCACCGTAGGTGCGGGTCTAAAGCTTGTAAGCATAGCTATCACATAAGCGTAGCTATCACATAAGCATAGCTATCACATAAGCGTAGCTATTATGTAATAGCAACTACAAACACCAGTATTCTGCCCGTGAGCGAACTCTGGACAGGCGGACTGGCGGATCGGCGGCAGTTCGGACTCTCGGAATACGGAACATTCTGGAAATGACCGGATGCTCGGTTGCATGCCCCTTGCCCATTACTTTGGCAGGGTACTGGTGTTTGTAGCTGCTATTACATAAATAAAATAAAATAAAATAAAAAGAGAGAAAAAAGCGAAAAAAAGAGAATATTTCTTATCTTATCTTATCTTATATACATGAGCTGTAAACTACTGGCCCATCCTTCCACCTCCACCTCCATCTGGGCTATCAGTCTTGTTCTGACAAGGCTTTGTGGGTCGTCTGCTATCCCTCCCATCACAATCTACTCTGCTGCAGTCATCACATGGGTTTTTGCAGAATTTCTTTGCCTTACTGCCATCACATTCAATTTTAAAGCATTTCCAGCATCGTTTTTCTGCTCTGATTCTCTTTGGAGGTAATTGGGGTGCTGAAATTGCTAAGACATCTTGTGCAGGTCTTTTATTAGGTAATAAAACTGCAATGTGTGATGGGCCAGCAACAATATTGGGCTGGGCTGAATCGACTTCCATGCTCTCATGTGATGGTTCGAGGAAATCACTATCCACATCCATATGATAAAGCTCTGGAGCATTTTCAAGAATTTGGGTTGGAGTGATCAATCCTTTGCTTGGTGGGGGTGCATGTGAAGCACTTCCACTTTGATGTTGAGCTATTTTTGACCGGGTAGGGTTCTTTATCTGTACATCTACAACCTGGCGTTGTGATTTTGTTTGTGAAATTGTGATGTGATGGTTTATGGTCAGGGCAGTTAGTAGGAATCACCCACCAACACTGAGAGGCCCGACAATACAAACAGGCCATAGTTGATGGTGCCTGCTGATGGGCCGATGAGGGCCAATAACCCTGTGTTGATGAATTGGCCGATGTGATCCCACTATCAAGGTAAAGAAGGGTCGGCCAGCTACGTAGATTTAGCATACACCGATCAGTAGGAAGCTGCCCCGGGAAGTCAAGTCCCTGTATTTGTATATCGGCTGATAGCTAAGCTATGCAAGGTCAGCTGACAGTTTTGAACATTGTATTTGTATATCAGATAGTTAAGCTATGCAAGGTCGGCTGACAGTTTTGAACATTGTATTTGTATATCGGCTGATGGAAGATGCAAGGTCGGCTGACAGTTGTGAACGTTGCTGGGCTGGTGATCGGCCGAGGGCCTTCACTTCTGATTAGCAGCTAGGCTATGCAAGGTCGGCAGACATTTTGAATTCGCCTGGGTTGGTGGTCGGCCGAGGGCCCTCAACTCTGGTTACCAGGGTCAGCTGGCGAGACCCACATGGTAGTCATGGTTCATGGATATCACCGAGTCGGCCGGACACGAGAATTTATGAACATCTCATCAGCCGATGCATCACCGAGGCCGGCATTTTCAAGCCGAATCGTTTTCAGCTTGGCCTTTAATTTAGCAGCCAAGCAGAGGCAGACCAGGCAGAACTTGCAGTTCAAATTTTCATGATCCGAGACAACATCGGTCAAACCAGCATTGATTAGTAAATTTTAACAAGAGTTGCGATAGGGTAACTGACT